AAATATTTTTAGATTTTAAGTTTGCAAACTAATTTATACTATTTTCATACAGTATTCGATGTGAAATAGGCCCAAAAGGAGATATTGAGACATGAACAAAGCTCGGAACTTCAGTTGGGACTCTATGTCTTCTCCGGGGATTGCATGCTATCCACGACAAAGGTTTAAGATTTTGCTTGTCCTTCTCTCGGCTTCTCTGTAATCTCAGTATCCTTATTGTTGTATTTTCCGACAGATATTCAGGGAAGAAACATTCACATTATAGTCTGAAAGAATGTTTCAGCCTTTCAGAGGTGTGGTATGGCATATCCAATGGGCAGACCACTGATATACTCAAAACATCCTATCAGAGTATATTGAATTTCATGCGTCTGGAACATGGTTCATTAGAAGGTAAATGAAAGGGGCGCCGTGGCGGAGTGGTTGTGATGTTGGTCACGGCGAGCGTGAAGCCGGGCTCCACCCTTTTTTTTTGTCCGGCAGTCAACAGCGGCGTCCTATGAAACGCCACAGCAAAGCTATCCTCGAGATTGCAAGGAGACTCGCTCCACCAGTATTCTACGCCGTTCAAGAAGAAGACGAAAAACGAATTGAATCTCAGAAATACTGGGATCCGCACAGTAAAAAAAAAAAAACAATGTGAAGACGTTTATTTCGTCGGTTTCCTTGAGACCACGCTCAAATTTCAATAGATCTCTTCGTTATTATTTGAGCCAACATGTTATGTGGTCTGGTAAGGGCTCTTGTGCAGCCCGATATACGTGTTTCGACCCTACAGTATCATCAGTCGGGCAGAACCCGCCGTCTTTCAATCATTCTGTGAAGACGGATCAAATAGAGTGATAAAAGCTAAAAAAAAAAGTCATATGAAAACTTCACAGATAAATACTGCTTTGTGAGAGCGATGAAGTTAATTTGTCAAAAATCAGAGCATTTCAGACGAAAGCTTTTGTTTACACGGCGAAAGCGATACCGCGGTAAAAACACTCTTATAAGATTCGCATGTTATGAAAATCCGCAGCCACTGCTGTTTAAATCTCAATGCGCCACTAATCACGACTTTCTATTGATGTCATCAGCATCAACGAAGAGTTGTAGAAGTAAAATCCTGTCTGGAATGGCTACAATGACTAACATTCACTTCTTCATAAGATATTGGAAAACTTGTCGTCAATTATGCTGCGATCCAGAGAAGCCTGATATTGAAATTGGTCATTTTAGCCGACATGAACAGCTACTGAGGGAAGTGTCGCAAGTCCAACGCTCATATATCAGCCTTTTCGGCTCAAGAATGTATTATTTCTATTATTCGCCACTGGATATGAATGAGTACAGAAATCTGGTCCAGCATCTTTCGTGACCCAATCCATCAAGACCTCTTCTGATACAAACATGACTGCGTGTGGTAGTTCAAGAGATTACCAAGGACATGGAACTCAGTATCAAATTAAGAGCTTTAGATTCACTATGCGAAATCATAAAATAAAGTGTTTAAAGCATCATAAACCCGTAAGAGAACGAAATCCTACTGTTGGTATAAAATGCAATCGCGGAACGCTGTCATAGCTGCACAGGCTTTAATGTACTTATTTATACTGTTAATCATAACGTATGTTCATCAATACCAATTCAGACGAGATACTGGAAATCCTCACTCTTTTCAGCTTTTGGTCACCTTTTCTGGTGGCTTATGTACTATCACAAACGTCAGTCGAGGAGCGAGCTTCGTCCTTCTCTCGGCCGTGTTACAACCTCATAATTGCTCTCTTTTCGAGCCACTCAATACGAAGTTTCACTTATAAATAGTTTTCTACTTTTCTATAAGTATAGAAGGTCTTGAATATTACTACACGCTTATGTTACCATGTTGATGAAAAGCAAAATATCGGGGAGATTGACTTTTATGAAGGTAAAAATTTTCTAAGCAACTGCGTGCAAATGGGCAATATAAATCCAAATCTTGTTTGGCCTTTTTCTTGAATATCTAATCATAAATTTAGATCGAGAGTTAGTCACAATTTGATATAGTGAGGCTATAAATCCTAACAGTTCAGTTCCTTCATTTCACTTAATCGAATAACATAAACATTATCGCACGTAACGCATACCACTTTCATAGTATAGCCAGCCACATAGTACCATGTCATAGATATACATCCACAATACACCTTTGATACCATATATTGCATAAAGAGTTTAACAGAGAAATGACTTTGGCGGTGTAGTGATATCATGCTCCCTCAAGATGGTTGTAACACGACTTTCACTCTCGTTCAAGGTCAGAGTTATGCAAATTGCTCAGCACTCTTGCAAATGACAAAGCATTTGGCGATCAACAATCACTCAGGAAACTTCTATGTTTCGGCTTCATTAGAAGCCGCGATTACACTCATTGGCTTATCGAGTTATCAGATCGGAGTTTTTATTCGCCCGGGTAAGTTTCATACCGATAGTTCGATCTCAGAGGATAAAGAGCATTATTTACATGAACTTAATATTAGACCAAAGGGCATATAAATATTTATGGGACGACTAATTGATGTGTTATACACTATATGAAAAATATATTAGGTTAGGTGAAAAGATGTGGGAATTTTTTGGAAGTTTAATTCTTTGGCATCTTTCCGTCGTTTTTCATCAATAGTTTTATATACATATATCTAGTTTATTGCTTTAAACTCTAAAATGCTCATCGTATAGTATGACTTGCGTATGATAACCCGCCATTATTGGAGAAAAGGTTTAACGTTTCTCAAAACCGTCGATAATCCGTCGATAATATTCATGCGAATGAAATTTCTGGTACGAACGAAATCGACTGTGGGCTAATGGTTCAAGCAATTCAAAAAAGGCAGTTTTGATCTCGAAGACATGCCTCATTTTGATTGGCTATCTTCTTGGATGAAAGTGCATTTAAGCCGCTTTGGATGCTGAGCCTTCACCGAGCAGTCGTAATTTGGATGAAGAGCTTGGTGTTTCAGACCGTTGTCAAGAAGTTGCACCAGTTTGACTTTGTTCGCACCAAATTCACCAGGATCCGCATGATCTTCATCCGGTTATAGCTTCTTAAGATCAATTCGACACTTTTTAATGACCGTCGATTTGAATTACTTGATGAAGCTGAAGGAGCATGTCAAGAGTTCTCCGTTCAACGGAGCCGGAATGGTGCTTCAAACAGACCCGAAATCTTGCAGAACGGTGACAGAAAGTCGTGGATAATGGTGTCTATACTTCGGAGAGCAGCTATAGGTGTTTTTGTTGATAAATTGTTTATTAAAAAAACTTGCAAAATTTCCCTCTTTTTGCTTAACCTTGTAAGCTAATAGATCGAATTAACAGATCGGAGTTTTCATCCAAGCATATACGTTTGTACAAATCTTCCATTTTCGAATAAAGTACTTCATTTGCATGAACTAAGATCTCATTAAAAAGTACGTAAATTTCCTTCCGCATGTCTAACAATTGCGTTACACACTCTTATGACATAGAAGTGATATGTGAAATCAATAGATTTTCATCAAACGCAACAATATTATAGGCTTCTCATGTTGTCAGTCAAGCTAGTTGTCAGAAACTCGTAGAGTCGTTTGCTGTGCATCTGTCAGTTTTCCCTAAGGTCTATCCAAATAATGCCAGATCGAAGTACGATTAATTACATTTACAACAGTATTTCTCGCTCCTGGAGCCACATCGCTCCTCATTTTTTTGAAAAATATTAACAGCAAGGTGCGCAATGTCACTGTTGAATAGATATTACTGAATAGATTGGTGATCGGAATCCATGATATACTCGTGAAGTAGAATAATTTCATGAACTGATTGTCCTAAAATGGTGGTTAATACATGAACATTCGCTCCTTCTCATCAATGTTTATGAGAGTGTAGCCACAGAAAGTGGGCACTTTGATGTTTACTAGTGAAAAAATGCTATAAAATAACCCCAACTTACAGGATTCTTAGACTCTTCCTTTTTTTCAAGAATTTCTAGAAGGCATAGTTGTCAGAACAGCTCAACGAGATCTAGCCAAGAGGACACCGACCGACACTGATAGTTTATTACCTTTTTGCGCCTTACCTCCATAATTCAAGTAATGCATCGTTATGACTCGGAATGTCGTGAGAATTTTCTGTCATTCTTATAATCACAATCTATATTATTCAACCGATAAGACGTATTCACCTCAAGAATACTGAAACGTCTGAGTGCAAGTGATGATAGAGTAGCACACAGCGAAACTATAAGACAAGCACAGTGCCGCAGAACTCTTGCATCGTGACCATTAGATACACTGTAATTCTGTTATACATAACAAACAAGAAATAGAACAGAAGACGATATGGCGTAATGAGGACAAAACCAAAAGGCAAAAAATCAAGTGGAGAAAGTGGAGGTGTTCCGCATTATTCTAACAACCAAATAACGTACGTTTTCTGATTTATTGTCCGTGAAATGTATCCATATCCGATGAAAGCCGATACAAGCACCGCAATTCCGTAAACTAACCAAATTCTAAACGTTATCTGAAAATCCTGGTTAGAGATCCAGGAAATTTGATCATCACCACACAGCACAGTTTGGTTTCCATTCCATTTTTCCTAGAATTTTGTTCGACTGCATTCATCTTATTCGATCTAATTCATAAAATCCTTCGTCCGCTTATAGCAGACAAAAGACTCCAAACATTTCTGCGTCACCTGGGATTTAAATTTTTTTGGCAGGAAAATTTCGAGAAAAATGATGCTGCATTGCTTCTTAAAACCTCAAACTGTGCAGCAATCAGGCGTTGTCTACAACCTTTAGCACACACATATCCTTATAGATGGAATAAAGCATAAATAACGCCTTACTTGAATCTTATGTTATGCATGCGCAGAAAGGCATCGTGAACGAAGCGAGCATGCAAGATATTTCTTTTTCTATTTAATGGCCTATTTTGCTATACAGAACTTTTTTTGCAACATTCTTGCACTCATTGATGTAGAGTGATGTGCAAAGCTTTCTCGTCAGACGGGACTAGAACCCGCGCCTCACCCTTTCAAGGAACGTGTGCTCTATTCGTTACACTACTGACACCCATTTTGCGCACTACTCTTTCTACGCTATAGCACATCTATCTGTTGTAGAAAGAGTAATGTGTAAAATGGGCGTCAATAGTGTAACGGATAGAGCACGCTCTCCCGGAAAGCGAGAGGCGCTGGTTCTAGTCCAGCCTGACGCCTAAGTTTTGCACATCAGTGACTATATATCTGAAGTATATCTATATCTGAAGCATCATGACACCGCTAGGAGCGGTTAAGTAAAAAAAAAATTTCATTCATACTTGCACTCGGGCGCTAGCTTGCTCCATAATATTAGGAATATATGGACCATGTCTACATATACACTTGAATATACGTGTATATATAGGTATTTAATTTACTCTATTTTGGTAGTTTGGTCCGTCTCACAGTTTGTTTCACTTTTTTTACTACTGTGCGGATCCCACTACTTCTAGCATTCAATTCTTGGACGGTGACTAATGAATATTTGATCTATTTGCTGGATAAATATTATAGTGTTAGTAAACATTTGCAAGCTTGAAACTCTCGCTATCGCGTTAAGTGACCACTTTTCGAAAAGACTCTTTTATAATGCTTCATCAAAAGGTAAACGTTTGTGTTTCACAACCGCATTTTTTTTGGAAGACAGAGCTCTTTCTCTAGATTGTTAGTAGCCATCCGGTAGCGTAAGATTCAGAGATTCCAACGCTGTGCTTTTCTGGAACGACCGTTTTTTTTGCAGTGCAGCATGGAAATAGGTTTGATTCACATTGTTCGTCATGTTTTCTGGCAAATTCACGGTGCGGAAGGTAGCGGGGCTAGGGTAATATGGCAGTTTCAACACGGCCATCCATCGACGGCGTCGATGCATCACACTGATAAAGTACGATTTTTCTATTCAATAAGGTTTTTTTTTCTCCGCTTCGCTAGAAAGTCCAGATAAAACGTAAGGCTTAAATACTAAAAGACTTTCTCTGCACGTTCATGTGCTTTTCGCGCTCCCAGCAAAGCAATAGTTAAATTGATCAGCCGATTTGAAACTTAATTTTATCTAAAAATTTACAGCTATAAAAGGGTGTTTTGAAAAACGGCTATGTACCGCGCTAGCCAGAGACCTAAGCTTCAAATGATTACTAGTATTCTTGTGAAAAGTTCTTGTCCAGCGAATAAGGTCGCATATCATTGGTAGTCGTCTAACGGAAACGATATCAATGTTAATAGCGCCTTCTTCTTTAACGTCGTATACTATGGGCTGAGCACGTCTTCTTGCCATCTCAAGAATAGCCTAGGTGTGGCGTTCCATAGCGCGTACTTGTTGACTGAAGGAGAGCGTTGAGAAGATTAGCTCCGCACCGTGAACATTCGCTTCATATAAGGCTATTCTTTGATATTCTACAATGAAACTTCTTCTCATTAGTTTACTGCTAATAATTAGACTGATAGGTGGTTGCAGGAGAGCGCTGAGGGATGGTGGGAGGGGGGTGGGACCACTTACAACGCTCGCTCCTCCATTTGATCTTTGATATCATATAATACATACTAGCAAACATGTCCTTAGGGTCATAGAACTATAGAACAAACTCTCATGAGGTGGATCGTCAGCTCATCGAAATCTTTATTTATTAGAAAAACCGTCGCTCATGTTCTAAAAACCTGAAAATCCTCAATGCCAGGAAATTCAGGTGACCAATGAGCACAGGCTGCGAATTTGAAAACGGGGTTGATTTACTATAAGCTAACTAGCACCAAACGGCAATTTTAAACACTTTTATTTTCTTTCTTAGAGATGTTTCTAAGTGCTAATGATATGTCCAAACGCATTGTCGACGATATCAACCAGATGAGGAAGATTTCGATATTTCAGTAAGGTTTTCACCTATAATTAAGCTCATATCTTTTTAAAAGACTAGATTAAGTCATTCACTTCTCCTAAGAGGCAAGTAATGCGGCACCGTAAGTATGTAAGAAATTTTCATCTAGGAATTGATGTGGTCCACGGAGTGGATCAAAGTTGATATAGATGAACTAAGACTTTTCTGGAAACTGTTTTCTATATAGGATGATCAATAGGTTTGAAAGTAATATGAGTGATAGGCATAGGCGCCTCGTCTTGCAGCAAAGAACTTGGCATTTGCCTGAAACATTTCCTATTATAACGTAGCAGCACCATATTTCCATGTAAGTAGTTCATCAGGAAAAGAGATGGTTTCACTTCTTAAATGAATTGCGATGAGTTCGACTTCAATGACGTCTCACTTTGTCTGAGAAAAGTAAACTTTGTCTTGCAGCAAAAAAAGTTTAGAACGTTTTTTTTGTGCTTTTTGTGAGTACTTACGACTAGAAAAATTTAAAAAATGCTTACGACAAAGAAAGAGGGTCTAGTGCAACGGAAGGAAACACAGTATCGTGACAGCATGACTTAAGCCTTTGATGGGCTCTGTAATGACACTTATAAAGTTTTAGACACGCGTCATGACTTTATCATTCACCAATTTTGCATTCGAGGGGGAAGAAGGTGGGGCGGGGGGTGGTTGGGAGAAGCGAAGTGGTTGTGATGATCGTCGCGGCGCGCGTGGAGACGAGTTCCACCCTCTCCCTCCAACTCTCTCCAGCAATCAACAACAACGCTCTATAGAACGCCTCAGCCAGGCTACCCTCGAGATTGCAAGGAAAGTCGCCCAATCGGTATTCTAGTTCGAGAACAACACGAAGCAACGAAATGAATGTTAGAAGTACAGCGGAAAGGAAAAAAGTACAGTGAAGACGTATCAGCAAAGCGTCAAAAAAACTTTGATTCGAATCTGTACAAATCATTTTCTATGCATTCGCATTATGTTGCGGTTGATAAGGAACATTTTTAAGCAGCATATTCTCAGGCTTTCGATGCTAATTCATCAAATCGAATCCGAACGGTGTTACTAACTTCGTTGTATAAATTATCCTCAGAGCTTAGCAACAACGGCAGTGATATCCCTTTTCGACCATACTGAGCGTTGAACTTCACGTATAGAGGAATCGCGATGAGCGCTGGCAAGAAGATTTGAAGGAGTAACACACTTCTCCTTGAAAGTGTTTCAAAATACTGTAATATGAGAGCATTAATGTCTTTTTTCACGTTTGCGAAGCATATTCTTGTGATAAACTTATGGCTTGCGAATACGTTCTGTAAGCATAGTATTTACTGCAAGAGTAATTTAACGATGATGACCGACTTTCAGGTTACAGATTTATTTCCTTCAATACTTCAGAATTTTAAAGACGTGTATCAAAAATTTTATAAGGTACTCTCAGCAGCGTTAAGTTATTGGATATTTTCTTATCCATCAGTGACCCAATGACCTGGAAAAAGTAACAACTTTTCAGCAAGGTATCCCATTAGTGTGGCGGCTGAGTTAAGATATCTTCGCTAAGTTAACTCAACTTATGCACTTGTAGAGTATTAGCTGCGTAAATTTGACCTAGGTTTTAGTGCAAAAGTTTGCATCACTTTTATTGACCCATCTTAGGCGCATTCGTTGAATATTTTGCAAAATTATGCTGCTCCATGACACCACTCTTCTATAGTGATCGTACTCACAAGGTCAAATAGGCCGCAATACCAATGAAAAATAGTTGTTTACGTATGAAATCGACTTTCCTTCAATTTTCACAAAGCCGATCAATTATATTTGGTCTGTTCCCTTAGACGGAATGAGTACGGAATAAAGAATAAACCCCTCGCCCTGGGCAGGAAGTTTTCGTAAGAGCGCTAGTGGTCGTTCGGAAGCTCAAGTCTTGGGGCAGTGTTGTACGTACATGTTTTTTGAGGTTTTTTTTTGGAGTGTAGTATTGGATTTGAAATTATGTTTCACACACGTCGTGCGCTTGAATCATTATCATGCTCATATTTTGCTAGACAACTACTTTTTGAACTGCTCGTAACTGTTCTATAGCTCTCTCAAAAAATCTACGTACTTTTGCGCTCTAAAAAGTCCTTTTTACATCGCTGTAGTAAGAGGAAAAGATTTGTGTTCCATACACGCGTCTTTCTCTCAGAAGAGGTATGCTTTCTTAAATCAAGAGTAACCATTCGATAGCGTAAGGTTCAGAGACTCCAACGCTGTCTTATTCTCTAGAAAAACCTTTTTCTTACCAGTGTATTAGGGAAAATAGGATTAAGTTTCACATACCCCGCGTATTTGCTTGTCGGATGGGGTGTGTGAGTGGCCGTGAATCGATACACGATCAATCGATCGCGCTGGCACTACTTACATGTGTAGTGCAACTTTTGATACTGAATTCAGGATTTTTCTCCGTTTTTGAAAAAATTTTTATATTAAACATATGGATCTGATACTTAATGATTTTCTACAAGCTCACATGCTTACCGCTTCCAGCGAACTGCACGTGTGATTAATGTAGACAGCTTCAAAATGCGTTCTGATGTTGTCTACCTCTTCCTGGGTGTAGAGTATCAACTTGTAATTTCTCATCATGTATCTTCATGTACTATGTTTTCGTGAGTCTATGGTAAGCATCGAAAAGCGACTGAACTTTCGATGAACTTCGGATTATGTTTATTATAAGTGCTTGAACATTATCATAGTACAAATGACCCTCTTTTACACTTTTAGATTGGTCATGTAATCGAGCTTACTTTTGTAAATGTACTTTGGCACACGAATTATTGATTAAAGTGTAATCTCTAATCTTGTCCTGGTGCTTCCATCGCTCTTTCTGACTTTATTCTTCTCTGACCTAAAACTCGCCTTTTGATTAAATGTACATGAGTGGCCGGAGGTTAAATCGAGGCTCTTCTTTAGCTTGGATTCGCTCACCTATTATTCTGTTGTCTACGCTATTTGTAATCTTCTATATAACCTATTGTTATTGTTGTACTGTTATTATAAAGATAAACGACAATCCAGTACAAGGAGTTCGATACAGAGGCAACTAGTAAAAGTCTTGCGTGGCCTAAGTAACTCGAATATCCACTGAAGTGTCTTTGCTGTAATGAAGATGTGAGCGCGCTGCGGATGTGAAATACAATTTTATTTTGGGTACTATAACGCTAAAAAGGCTTTCTAAAAATGAGTACGTACAGCGCTGCCTCAAGATTCAAGCTCTCACATGATCATTACCACTCTCATGAAAAGTTTTTGTTCAGCAAGAAATTCTCATTCCCCATTCCGTGCAGTCTA